AAATGCAGGCAGTTGCTGGAAACAGTATGGCTCCTCTGGAAGAGCAGTAAATGATCTTAACACGGAGTCACCTCTCCAAACCCAGTTTCCACAGTCTGGACAGCTGGAACATTCAGAAGTCTAAATTCAAAATCTCTGAAGCTCAAGGCACACTCTTAACTGATGCCTGTTTAAAAACAACAAAAGGGGGTGGGGCTTAGGTACTCCAATATTAGCATAAAGTATTTCCATTCCAAAAGAAAAACAAAGAGGAGTGGAAAGATAGCAGGGAAAGATTAATATTTTTGGTTTGCCTAAAGCCCAGCAGGGCAAACACCAAGTACTGCAGCCCTGTGCCCAGTGCCCGGGACTCCTGATGGCATCCAACAACAGCCTGGTGTAGCCTGGCTCCTCCAGTCCCGAGACCTGCAACGCTTGTGGCCTCCCTTAGGGCTGGCTCCACTGTGTGCCTTCTATGTGTTGTTTTGAAATAGGGTCTTGCTGTGTGGCCCAAGGTTGGCCTAGAACCTGTAGCAATGCCTTTTGTTGACCTCCACAGCTTCATATTTATAGATGTGAATTGTGACACCTGGGCTAGAAATCTGAGTTGTGATTTGTTTGTTTACCTCAAAAATTTTGTTTAAAGTTAATCAGGTTTTTCAGACATGTTTGTATTAGACCCTGAAGAACCTGAGTGTAAAATTTTTCTCATTTCTGTGGTGGTCAGGAATTCACTTCCTGGTATAAGCCACAGGCCTAGAAAAGCATAGTTGGCCGAACTGTTCCGTCTGTAAATATAGGGAAGTATGAATGGAAGTGAGGAGGACATGGCTGCTACTAGGACTGGGAGTTTTTTACTGTCGATATGGGGGAGAGTTCGGCCAGATGCATCAGGAAGGGCCCGGACTGAACCAGGCCAACAGACTAAACTGGGCCAGGAGAGGAGAGAGACAAGTGCCAGAGGAAGAGAGAGAGGAGGTCAAGAGAGGAGCCACTGACCAGGAGACCAGAGGGTGTGTAGTCAAAATGGCTGAGTCATACAGGAAAGAGAAGCTGGGGGAGGGAAGTGAAACCCTGGGTTGGAGGGGGTTGGGGGGTGGACAGTGCTTGGAGGAGACACAGGTGCTCAGTGAGACTTGTCCTGGGTTTCTTTGAGACCTAATAAAGTAGCCATACAAATCTTTGGAAATGATGTACAGGAGAACAAGAAGTAAAAATAATTTTGTGGGGGAGGGGGAGGGGGGATGGTGGGGAGTGAGACGGTGTTCATTATATAGCTCTGGCTGTACCTGCTATGTAGACCAGACTGGCCTCAAACTCACGGAGATCTGCCACTGCTTCCTGAGTGATGGGATTAATAGATGTGCATTACCATGGCAGGCTTGGAAAAGAATTATCATCTATCTATCTATCTATCTATCTATCTATCTATCTATCTATCTGTCTGTCTGTCTGTCTGTCTGTCTGTCTATCTATCTGTCTATCTATCTATCTGTCTATCTATCTATCTATCTATCTAGATATCTGGATTTTGGTTTTTTGAGACAGGTTTTCTCTGTGTAGTCCTGGCTATCCTCTGTAGTAGTAGTTCTCTGTAGTCCTGAACTCACTCTGCAGACCAGGCTGGCCTCAAACTCAGAGATATGCCTGCCTCTGCCTCCTAAGTGCTGGCATTAAAGGCATGTACCACCACTACCCAGCAGGAAAGCAATTTTTTAAATACACACATCTTGGTGCTAGAGAAGTGGCTCAGAGGTTAAGAGCACTTATTGCTCTTACAGAAGATCCTGGTTCGTTTCCCAGCATCCACATGGTGGTTCACAACCATCTATAACTCCAGTTCCAGAGCATCCTATGCCTTCTTCTGATCTCTGTATATGTAAGCATACATACGGTGCACATACATACATGCAGGCAAAACGTTTACATATAAAATGAAGTGAATAAATCTAATTAAAATTTTAAAAGTCACTGCTGTTTAAAAAACAAATCTTACCTTATAGATAGAATCTTACAGACAAAAACAGCATTATTGCTTTTGGGAAAACATTTAAAAGGCGCACTCCTTAAAGATCAGGGCCCTCCAGAGGTTCCTTTTTCCCTCCAGTAAGATGAAACCACACACACTAATGGGTCAATAATTTTTAGTTACATCCTAGAACTGAAAGTAGAAGATTCAGAACTGGAGTTTTATTGACACAAGTGTGCTTTTCTCTACTCTTGGGTTGTAGAAATTGTGAGTATCTGACATTTCTGATTCCCTTTAAGCTGTTGGAGTCTATGAACAACGTACTAAATCATCCAACTATCACAGCCCACTCCATATTGTTAGGCACTCTCAGTGTCCTAGGTCTTTGGGGTCTCTGACTTCTTATCAGTGTATATTTAGAGGGGATTTTGTTATATAAGTTTAATGTCACCGTTAAAGGAAGTGTTTTTATTTCAGGTGTCACCAGTGTTTTTATTTCCATGTCCTCAGAGCAAACTTCAAGCTTCCTACTTTATTGCCTTTATGGAAACTTATCTGGATTTAATATCTAAGAAAAGAATGACATGTGACAGAAAGTTTCATCCAGCTCTAGGCATCACACGCTACTGAGGTTGAACTGGTACTGACCACAGACCCATAGCCCTTCCTGAGAAGGAACAAACCTTTTCCTTTAGAAACCTAACACCAACCACCTCTCACAAGATTCAGAAGAAAGAAAGAACCTGTGGTAAATTCTCTCTTTCAGCTGGATTTCTGTTTCCACTTCTTCACCCTATAAAGCTAGTCTTGTCAGTAAAGGAAGAAGGCAATTGGATTCAGAAATCAAATACATTGATTTGCAAAAAACAAAACCCTCTTTGTATTCCCTCATGATGCTGTGCCCTGGTTTAGCCCTGGTTTACAGTGGTCAGCCTCTGTTCTTCTTTTTTTTAGATTCCCTCACACCCAGACTTGTTATTTCTCTCTGCATTTACATTTAGTGGGAGAAAGTTAGTCTGGACTCTAGTACCTTGGCCATGTGAGTTTCCCTCGGGATTTTCTTCAATACCTAAAGATGTTTTAGATTCTGTAGCATTTACCCAAGGCTCCAACCTCATGCAATATGCTCATAATTTCTTAACCAGATAAGATAAGGTGTCCTTATAGACATTATTCAGAAAGCTCCTGCCAAATGAGACTCTATGAAGCTTCCAGATCTAAATGTCACTGTCTGCAAAAACCTGCTTTAGCTTAGGACATGAGCTATCTCAGGGCACTCCAAAGCTCAACTCAAAATGCTTTTGATTTTGTTCAAACTAGTCCTCTAAAGAAGCAGTTATGTACTATTATGATCAATCCACATGAGTCTATCAATGGGTAACAGAATTTATTAAGGTATAAACTGAGGAAATATACTCATGATTACAGAATGGAGTAGACAGCAGAAGTCGTCCTCTGATCTGACTGGGAGTAAATCCACCTCACAGGCCAGAGCAGGGAGAAGGGGCATGTGACCCTTCTCCAACTCCTTATCAGAGGTCATGTACAACAGTAGGAAGTACCGCCTCCTTTGGGCCATATAGCCCAAGGTCATGGGCGGAGCAATTACCACTACATTGTACATTTTAGGCGCAACTGGCTGCCACCAGTTGCTAATGCTACTCCTAATGCTACTGTTGTACCTGTTTCCAGAAACCCCCAGAGACCACCAAGGAGCTGGTTTCCCATGCAAGCACGTAAGGGTACTTTTATTCAGGTTCAACCTGGGCCACTGCACGGCAGATGGAAGGAAATGTGGTGGTGGACACGAGCCCAGGTGTAGAGTTTTTATAGGGAAAAACCACAAGCTGGGAATTGGCAACTTGGGATTGGGTAGAAGGGATACGGGGCAAGGTAATTTTTTGGAAACTATTGGTCTAGATTTTGGGCACAAAACCACATTTGAAACCATTGGGTTAGACTTTTGCTGAGGAACAACAATCCACTGAACAGGATTATCTGGACTGCTCAGCAGGATTATGTAGATACCTTCAAGGGCCATAAACTGCAGACAGAATGTCTGCAGGAGGATACTGTTGAGTTGTCATGGCACATTCCTGAGGTCCTTCCTGGAACTGAGTACAGCAGGTGGTCTGAGATGGTGGCCCTTTCCCTAAGATGGAGCCTGTAAAGTCAAGTCTAGGCCTTCACACTACGTCTCTCATTCTGTGCCTTCCTCTCACTCTAAAGCTCATCCTCTCTCCCTCAGAAGCCTTAACTTCCTCTCAAACTCCAGGTTACCTGATTTTGAGAAACTTTGAACTGTACTGCCACAAAATGGGATTGATAAAGGTATCATGGGACAACCCTTTGCCTCACAGATTCATACTATGGTACTTTTTTCGTGCTGATTGGATCCTCTAACAGCATGCATGCCCCAAGGCCTGAGTGTTCTGACAGAGTCTGCCATCCTAGTCTGCCAGCCTCTTATTCTGGGTTCCTCATCTGCCTCATGATTGGTTTGACACAGCACTTTGAGAGCAGGAGGGGGCCTTGTTGGGAAGCTAGAGCACTGCCGAGATTATTCTCTTTTTTCTAAAATTGCTTTCCAAAAGGCATCACCACAAAGAAACAATTGAGTTATCTGAAGAAGTTTCTGAATGTCTCTTGTGGCTTCAAACCACTCCTATAGATCTAAGTCAATCATGTGGGCAGAACAGGAATCTCCAGTGGTCAGGAGCAGTGAGCTATATAACTGGATGTGAAGATGAGCTTGTAGTCTACTGCCACTCAGGCCCAACATAGAACAGCAGTTCTTAAAGCATGTTCTGTGGAACCCTCAAAGTCACTTAGATGCATCCAAGACATCATAATATTTTCTTTTATAACTTACTTGAGGTAACACTTATAACTTATTCACTGTAACACTCCTGACAGTGGGTTAATCTGTTGGCATCTTAGTGTTGTGCCCAGAATGTGACCCCCAGAGAGACCACCAAAGACGAGCATGTCGGAATGCAAAAGCAAGGTTTAATTCTGGATGTACAATACAAGCCTAGGCAGGGACTTCGTCCAATACATCCAAAGCAGTGGAGGCTGGAGGAAGTGCCCACCTATCTGCAAGCTCAGCTTTTAAAGGGAAAAATCACAAGGTTACATCATTTAAGTGTGCTAGTATGGGTACAATTCTGATTGGCTCACTTCTAGGGAATTCTAGCCATTTCTCATTGGCTGCCCTCAGGTGGGGGCATTTCTGTGGTCAGTTACCCTGGAAACCAGGGAGAGGACATTCCATAGTCTGGCAGGCATTACCTTGTGACTATCTTGTGACTCTGTACTTTTACACTTCCTGGTTTCTGGAATCTGAACTGACTTCTTTCAGTAACTAATGGCCTATTCCCAAAAGGAGAAATATTAGGCCTTAATTTTAGGGTGAAAGCATTTTGGTCTTATTTCTAAGATGGCTCATTTTGGTCTCACACTTAGTATGACTCCAGGCCAAGGAACCCAATTGCAATTGGAATTATTAATTATTGTGTTATCCAACACCAATTACTTACAGGATAAAAAAAAGGCAACTTTTTAAATGTCCTGTTTTGTTTTCTGTTTTTGTTTGTGTGGAGACAGGGTCTCATGTTGCCTATGCTGGTCTCAAACTGTAACAAGCCTCTCTCAGCCCTCCAAGTGCTGAGATTACAGGCCTGCACCACCATACTTGGCCTATCTTTCAGATATATATAAAAGACTTATTTGTTTTTGTTTCATGTGTATATGTGTGTGCCTACTTGTCTGTTTGTGCACCAATTGTTGCAGGACCCTGAGAAGGCCAGAAGGGGGCGCTATAACCCGGAAAGTGAAGTTACTGGTGGTTGTATCCATATTCCTGATCTCCAGATTATCTAATTTTGAGGAACCTTCATTTATATTGCCACAAAACAAAACTGCCCAATATGGATGTTGGAAACCCAACCCAGGTCTTGTACATTTCTCCAGCCCCTATTTTTGCTGCTGCTGCTGCTGTTGTTGTTGTTGATTTTTAAAATGATAAATGTGGGGCGGATGTAACATGCAAGATCTCTCTGAGGACCTCACTTATTTGTGAAAGCGTACAGAGATCCTAAAAACAAAATGTTGGGAATTTCAGGCACAGCTCCCAGCCCTAGGTGCAGGGGGAAGAGGGTGTTAATCTCCCTGATCTCAGGCGTGACTCTCAGGTCTGGTCTGTAAAGGAGGTATGTGGGGTGACAAGAAGCCAAGGGTTAGGGACTCCTCCTTACCTTTGAGTTTCTCCAGCTCACCACCTTTCTCAGCTGTCCTGGTCCTTCTGCCTGAACACTTGTCCTCACTCCCACTGCATGTCTGAATTCTGCAGAAAGCTCAGTCACCATGGTCTCTCCCCAGAAACCACAAGGCTATACCGTCCACAGAAAGGAACAAGGTCTCAGTTGCTCTGGGCCTTCTAAACACCAAGGATGGGAAGCTCCGCGCTTTCTGCCCTCCTACCGCTGCTCACCGGAGCTTTGGCCTTGACCCAGGTCCAGGCAGGTGAGTGCTGGCCAGAAACTGCCAATGTCAGGAAGAGCAAGGGCGTCGGGCGGGCTGGGACAGTACCCCGGAAACCGGGTCTCCGAATCTCCCAGCCAGACCCTCCCGCTCCTTTCTCTCTATTCTGCATCCTATGCCCTGCTGCTCCCAGCTCCCCTCCCGCCGCAGCACCGCCACAGATTCCGGAAGGAGGGTCTGGATCTCACCGCCCTCCGCCGCCAGGCTTCCATTCCTTGCAGTTTTTGGCCACCGTCACGTCCCAGCCTGGTTCGAGAGAGCCTGCCTTCATCTTCGTCGGCTTCGTGGACGACTCACAGTTCCTGTGCTACAACAACCAGGGGGAAAGTCAGAGAATGGAGCCCCGCGCGCTGTGGGTGAGGCAGATGGGGCCTGAGTATTGGGAGCGGCAGACCCGGACCGTCAAGGACATTGCAAAGAATTCCCGAGTGAACTTGAAGGAGGCTATGGGCGTCTACAACCATAGCGAGGATGGTGAGTGATCCCAGGGCTGGGACTGAGGTCACGACTCCTCATCCTCACAGACGACACCGAATTCCCGGGTACTCAGGTGTGAGGTTTGCCCGAGGCTGTGGAATTCGCGGAGAGCCTGGACCTCAGGGGACCCGAGACCGGGTTTCTTACGGTTTGGGGTTCAAATAAGACCCGGGGCGGGGCCAGGCTCTCACGTCTTTCAGTGTGTGTCCGGCTGCGACGTGGGGCCAGAGGGACTCTTCCTCCGCGGGTACGAGCAGCATGCCTACGACGGCCGCGATTACCTCGCCCTAAACCCGGACCTGCGCTCCTGGACCGCAGGCGACTCGGCGGCGCAAATCACGCTGAGCAAGTGGGAGGAGGCTGGTGTCGCGGAGCAAAGGCGATCCTACCTGACCGGCGAGTGTGTGGAGTCGCTCCGCACATACCTGGAGATAGGGAAGGAGACTCTGCTAGGAGCAGGTACAAGGGGCCTTGAGGAATCTCCTCCATCTATCCTCGGGCTGGGGCTCGCGTCTCCCCAGAAGGGAGGAACATGGGTTTGAATACTACTTATCTTCTTTGCATCTGGAGAGGGAAGAGTGATCCCGGGTATCCTGATCAAACACACCAGAGAGAGGGATCAGCCTTGTCTCAGGACGGTTGAGAGTCTGCCAAAGGAAGGAAGGAGAGAAGATCCCTGAAATAACCAACAACAGCTCCCAGTCTGCAGCCCTTTGTGATCCATGGCCTCTCATGCAGCTCTCTGCCCATAACCAAAGTCTTCAGCGTCTGGCTCCAGTGATGCTGAGTCTCTCAGCCCTCACCCAGTCAGGACCAGACGTTCCTTTCTCCCTCGGGAATCCTGAAGTCTATATTGCCTGAATCATCCTGATTCTAGAGCTTTCCAAGGAGTAGATTATCCCAGATACCTGAGTCTAGACTACTGTATGGTGCTTAAATCCCTCCACCACCCAAGTTCTCTCCATTCCCAGAATGGTCACATAAGTACTATGCAGTTCAGGAAAGAATCTTAGATGCCTGAACTGTCTGTTTCCCTCAGATCCTCCAAAGGCACATGTGACCCAGCACCCCAGACCCGAAGGAGACAGCATCCTGAGGTGCTGGGCCCTGGACTTCTACCCTTCAGACATCACCCTGATCTGGCAGCTGGATGAAGAAGACCAGACCCAGGACATGGACCTTGTTGAGACCAGGCCTGCAGGGGATGGAACCTTCCAGAAGTGGGCAGCTGTGGTGGCGCCTTCTGGAGAGGAACAGAGATACACATGTCATGTGCACCATGAAGCACTAACTCAGCCCCTTGTTCTGAGATGGGGTAAGGAGTGGTGTGGACACAGAGATGGTCGTTAGGAAAAGTGGGAGCCCTTCTCAAGACCCTGAGAGGGTCATGGCTAAGAACAGGTGGCCAGAGCCCACACCTCTTTTTTTCCCTTCCTTTCTCAGACCTTCCAAAACCCACCATCCCCATCATGGGAATTACCGCTGGCCTGGTTCTCTTTGGAGTTGTGTTCACTGGAGCTGTGGTTGCCATTGTGATGAGGAAGAGCAGAGGTAGGGAATGGGGTCTTATCTGAGCGCTTTTGTCTTACTGTTACTATAAGACATATACATATATGTGTGCTTATCTGATCTAGGACTTTGTGTTCTAATACTTTCTAAGGCATATTTGAAAATAAGTGACAAATATCTCACACTGATGTGATTGGACATGACATGCTGGTTGGGATAGATCTCCAGGCAGGAACTTGGGCTTTTCTTGCAAATCTCCCTCCTATTTCCTGATTTGAATCTAGGTCTTCAGATAATAATTCTAAAAATATTCCCGAGGTTCTGAACTCAGGAAGGAATTTCTGAGTTCTCCCATTCTGCATTTTCCCTACCTTCATGGAAAAGGATGTAGTTACACAGTCTGTTGTAAGAGTTGATTTTTCCCATTTTATCCCCATCCCTTGACCATTTGTCTCAGCTCTTGAACTCTCTTTACACTTCAGGGAAAAAGCCCTCTGAGAGTCTAGAAAGGAGCAAAGACCAAGTCTCTCCATTACCTCCCCAAAAACATTCCTGCAGCTGCGCACATCATGAGTTCCTGGTTCCACCAGTCAAATGACCACATGCTGGACTTTGGCTCAGCACATGGTGATAAGGAAAAGCTAGAACTGCACAGAATGCTTTTGGCAAGTGTAACATTGCAACATCGTTTCCAGGAGCTGCAGGGAAAATGTCCCAGCCACAGTGACCAGCACCTGTGTCCAGTGACAGGGACGGTTTATCCTGGGTGGCACCTGGCATTGATAGGCTTGTGTGTTTTCCACCTAGCTGTGAATACTCACTTGGTTCCATAATAAAATAATAAAATAATCTTCAACCCTCTGATATCAGGTAAACTTTCTTTATGTTTAGTAAGGACAAGAATTTGAATTCTACTATCTTTACATGGAAATAAGAAATCAATCTGGGGAATTTTCAGATAGCAAATAGTCAGAGGCTCCCATTATGTAAATGTCTTCCACCTGAAGCTAAACCCCATGGGACAGAAAACAATATGTATCTGCCAACATGACAACTCAGGGCTGATGACATTATCCTTTCTTACCTTCTCAGGGAAAAATATTATATTCCCATTTGAGGTTGTTCTTCATTATAGTGACCACAAATCTTGTTCTAAAATACTCAGGCTTCTTCCAAGACCTGTCTTAGATAGTTGAGCATAGAGCCCTCCCTGCCTTGAGAAAGGTTTTAAAAATATTTTTATCATTTATGTGTGTGTGTGAGTATGCATTCCACATGCATGAAGGAGCCTTCAGAGGACAGAAAACTTATTGTATCCCCTGGAACTGGATGATTGTGAGTCAAGGTGTATGTGTTAGGAACTAACCCCAGCTCCTCTGCTATAGCAGCCAGTGCTCTCAACCACTAAGCCATCTCTCCAGTCAATTATTTTTAATAAAGATTTATTTATTTATTTAATTTTGTGTACATATGTTTGCTTGCTTGAGTTTATGTGCACTGTGTATGCACCATCCTGAGGAGGCCAGAAAAGGACATTAGATTCTCTAGAGCTGGAGTTACAGGGAGTTGTGAGCCACCAAATGGTGGGAACTGAACCTTGGTCCTCTGGAAGTTTAACCAATGTTCTTAACTACTGAGCCATCCTCCAGTCCTCCCTCTACCTTTATTTTGGCAGGTTCTCACACTGTACCCCAGGATGACCTGGAACTCACCCTGTAGCTCTGAAAGCTAATTTTCATTGTGAACTTGACTGGATTTAGAATCTCCCAGGACTTGCAATTCTGGAAATGTCTGTGAAGGCGTTTCCAGAGAAGATTAACTGAGAAGGGGAGGGCTTCAATGAATGTGGGTTACACCAACCTGTGATTTGGGAGCCCAGTCTGAAGAAAAGGGAGATAAGAGCTAGTATCCCCACACTCTGCTGCCTGATGCATGGAGACATGAGTCATCCCAGCCATGTGCTCCAGCTTCCATGAACTCCACCATGCTTTTCCTACCAGGATGGCTTGTACCTTAAATAAAAAAGCAAAATAAATCCTTCTTGCCCTAAGTTGCTTCTTTCTTCTTTCAGGTTTTTGTTTGTTTATTTTACATTAGTGAGAAAAATGAATGATACAACAGTTTGGGCTGACCGTCTACTCCTGTAAATCTTCCTGCCTCAGCCTGAGTGCTGGTTTTGCAAGTGTGGGGGAATACAATCTGCCATAAATTTATTGGGATGAATTGAGATTGTGGGATTATGTGGGTGTATTAGAATCTTATCAGGGAAACTAGGCCCAAGAACTTATGGGACATACCCAGACAGTGAGTGGGTACATTTTCATCAGAATCCCAGAAGACATGGACATCAGCACTGTAATGTCATTGACCCAACACCAATTGACCCAACTGAGTGTCAGATACTCAGTGTGTGCATCAGTGACTAATGGAGAACTCCAGACTGTCCCTGGGGCTTCAGCACAGTTATGCTGATGTGGACTATTTCACTATAATTTGCTCATCCTCCTTTTATCCATCTAGATCTTTGTCCATCCATCTGTCCATTCCTTTGCTAGATCTGGTCCCACCCTTTTGCCTCTGCAGCTGGACTCATTTCTCAGTCTTCTGCTCAGTGTCTGACTCCATAGCAGCAGCCTCTTCCATGCACTGTTTGGTTTCCCACCTTATTAAAAAGACTATTTACATTTCTTTGGTTTATTTATATTTTCTGTGTATGAATATTTTGCTTGAATGAATGTCTGTGCACCAGGTATATCCGTGGTGCCTGCAGAGGCCAGAAGAGGGCATCAGATACCCTGGAACTAGAGTTACAGATGCTTGTGAGCCACCATGTGAGTGCTGAGAATCAAACCCAGGTCCTCTACAAGAGCAGTAAATGCTCTTAACCTGAGCCATCTCTCTAGCCCTCTATTTACATTTCTGTAAGCCAACTTATAAAGCATCATGAAATGCTACTGCAGCCTCCTTAACCTTTGTATCTATTCTGTAACCGTCATATATGCATATATTTCCTGTGTGATGTGTCACATTTCAGTTAATATCAGTAATTAAGATTGGAATAAAAGTTGTATTTGCTTTAATTCAATTACCAAAGAAAACAGGATTATCTGCCAAATTCCTGAAATAGAAACCAATCACACTTACTGAATTTATTGTCACTCAATTGTGACATTGTGGGATGTTGGGTGTTCTGAGTTGTGTGGGCTGTTCAAAGAAGGAAAGTCACCCCAGAATGTAATTTTAGGCTCTCTGGAAGCAGGGAGGAAGTGTTTCTGTGAACTGAACCTCAAACTTCTGTTCAGAATCATATTTATTGATTATACACAAAGGTTGTGTTTGAGGTACAACAAGTTCCTCATACCAAAGCCCCTTTGATCTATATGTTCTCTGAAGGAAATCATCACACCCCTGCAACTTTAATCCATATTGTGTACTCTTCACAGTACCCAATAATTCAAGACCTCCAAGTATGCCCAGATAGTCTTGTGATCAAAATCATGCAAGGGATGGAAAACTTCTTCAGAAAAATTCTATAAATCATAGAAAACCATCACTGTTCTCTACTATGATTTCTTCAAGGTCTAGATACATTCAGCAAACACTAGTACATTCTACTGATACCCTAGATACAGTGAAAAACAACTATTGCATTCTAATGTTTACCCTAGATACAATGACTCTACTAGATTCCCTCTAGTGGAAAGATACAAGCATGGTCATATATGCTTCTTATGTAGATTGAATACTCATGATACACTGTGAATGTGAAGAATAAAAACACAGATCCCAACTCAAAGGGAATAAGAGAGTTTATTTTGGAGCCAAATACAATTGATAATAGCCTGGGACATAGATTTCAGTTATTCCAAATTCCATGTCCTAAAATGGTAACCATTTTATGAAGTTTTCATAGTAATAGAACAAAAAAGGCATAAACAACACCTCTTAAAAATACATTGGTGGAAACATCAGGCAGGTAGGTTATATCAAGGCAGGGAAATCTCTGTTACAGACCTCATATGCTATCTGATGACATGGGTTGGTTGAGCTAGGAGTCTGTTTGTACATTCCAAAAGGATTTACCTAATTGTCACAAGGATGTCAGGTCACACACAGAGGGGATAAGAATGGCTTTTAAGAGGCTAGGATAGCTCAAGATAATTTGGCTCTCTGGACCAGTAACAATCTAATCCATCCACAATAGTGATGTTCTTTTTAAAAATTTGTTATTATTTTTATTTTATGTACATTGATATTTTTGACTGCATGCTTTTTTCCTCCGCACTTTCTACAGCTGCTCATAGCTCTGACCCTAACTCAAAGGCCTTACTTTCCTCTCTACATTACTCCAGACAGCAGCTGCTAAGATTATGGCTTGCAAATGCTGTTGTTGTCATAACCCCCCACCCCCACCCCGCCAAAACTAATGAAGTGGTCCTGGAGCGTCCTTCTGAGTGTGATTTTGTTATTGTTTTTGTTGTTAGCCTTAATTTTTTTTCTTTTCTTTTCTTTGTTGTTGTTGTTGTTTTTGTTTTTCTAGACAGGGTTTTCTCTATGTAGCTTTGTGCCTTTCCTGAATCTCGCTCTGTAGACCAGGCAGACCAGGAACTCAGGAAGATCCGCCTGGCTCTGCCTCCTGGATTAAATGCATGCGCCACCACCGCCCGGCAATTTTTTTCTTTTTTAATCAAGAAGAATTCACAAATGGGAACCCCTTATTCCCCGGTAATGTTTGGACACCCACATGCTCATTTCTGCTGTATGTGGGAATTTTAGAGAACCACTCAGAGTTATCATGATCCGTCCCCACAAACCCACAACGCTAAAAACTCCACAGAGAGGAACACTGACCTAGTCTCTTCAAGTTCTCCAAACACCAAGGATGGGGTCCACGCTGCCCGGCGTCCTACTTCTGCTGCTGATGGCCGCCCTGTCCCCCACTCAGGCCCTCGCGGAGGAGTGCGGGGTGGAGAGAGAAGCCTTCTCAGCAGGAGGAACGAGGAACCCGGCAGGGACTGCACCCGGAAAAGCATGTCTCCGCCCTCGCCCAACCAGACACCCTCCTCCCCGAGCTGGGTCGACCCAGCCAGGCTCCCTTCTCCAATCTGTGTCTGGAGCCCCGCACCCTGCACCCCTCCCAGCGGATGCACCTGTTCCCAGGTCTGACCGGGTGCAAGATCACGGCGCATCACCGCTGGGCTCGCACTCCCTGCGATATTTCACCACCACTTTGTACGGTCCTGGCTATCCCAAACCTCGGTTCATGGTCGTGGGCTACGTGGACAACACGCAGATCTTGAGCTTCGACAGCAACATGCCGAGTCA